AAATTCATTCTGATTTTACATGTACCATACCTCTTTCTTGCCTCGACAGTCTCCAATTCCAAGAAATGAACCTTCAAAGTTACTCAGTAGTTTTGAAGCTGCTTCTGTTTGGAACTCTTCTAGATTAACATAAATTACCATCCCTTTTGAACCGAGGTGACCGTCTAACAGCTCTACTGAAGGCTCTTGATCTTCATTTTGTGTGATTCTTTTCAGTTGCTTTAGAAACATTTGAAATTCATGGGTTCCTTCAAATGCTTTTCCCTTAGAAAAATTACAAAAACTGTTTTTTATATTGCCAAATTAATATTATTACACATTACAGATACTTACAGCATATCTCAGTAGTTTTTTTATAGAAACTGCCTCTCCAAACTTATTGGAAGCTTCTTCCCAGCTTTTGAACTTGAAAAAATCCACAATGGCTACCTGGATGGGTCTGACTTGCTTGATCTCTTTGGCTGCTAACTTCATTTCATCTAGATTCATTTCCAGTTTTGACACCTGAAAGAGAAATTAAAAAACAATGAACAAAAAAGTAATTTAAAATGTTGTTAGAATAACTATTCTTTTTCTAAGTGTATCCTTTTATTTTGACTTCAAAGAGAAAACATGTAGTCTAGAAATATGATCTCTAGAATAATTATTTAAGAAATATACAATTTGCAAATACAGTACATGCTATGTACCTTATCCAAAAGAAATGTTCTGTCCTCATCGCTTAGGCTGCAGAGTTCTTTAAACTGCCATTGTTTCAAGACTGGCTTCCCCTTGATTATTTCTACAGCTTTCACCTTTTGATCTTTCAAATCACCTTTTTCATACTTAGAACTTATGTCTAAGAGGAGATTCCAGGCAACTTGAGAAATCTGAGCCATTGTAAAAATTTCACTAATATTTCTTTTCTATGGATAGAATACAGAAAGGTCATAAATAAAGTAAAGTTATAAAAGTCACTAATAATGCTGAATTATTTGTTATTTGAATTATTTCTAATTGGTCAGGTGAATGACTTTGTAAATCTGATGGTTGTAGCCATTACGATAACACAAGCAAGGGTTGAATTTACATACATGTAAGTGTTACTTAATAGCAGCTCAATGCCTGAGCTGCTTTCTTTGCAGCTTTTAATATTCATTTTATCAGGACTTACTGGTTTGTTCAGAAGACTGGAACACATGTCTCTCCAGTTTTCATTTTCTCCAGGTGTTTGCTTCTGCTGTTGGCGGCAAATTTCCAACTGCAATTTTAATTAAAATAAATTAATATTGATCAAACAATGATATGAAATGTATTATCCTCTCTATATAGTTATTATAATTGTAGGTAGTGATACTATTTTGTTTCTTTAAATTGAGAGTACCTCATCTATGTAGGTGAGACCATGCCGAATAGCACCAGTGTTATTGTGCATAGCACCAAGCCACCGTGCCTCCTCGTCTTTAAGGCCAACATATATTCTAGCAAATCGTCCAAAGTAGCTTTTGTTACCAGGGTATTGCTCATGTAGTTTCTTTGTGGCTAATGTCAGATGAGTTCCACCAAGAACTTCATACTCATATTCTTCAATCTTGTTTATATCAAAACTTTCCTTCTTTTCACAATTCTTAACCAGGACAAATAGTGGCTCATAGTTACCATCTGGTTGGTCCTTCAAGCTTTTTTCCAACAGCGCAAGAAAGGAATCATCAACCCTACGTATCTGTCTCTCTTTTGGTGGGACATCAAACTTTTGAATTGGGATAAAGTGAGCTCCTACAATAAACAAATAAATCAAACAAGTGAGCCAGCGAGCTAGTCAGTCAGCCAGAAATATGATTTAGGAAATTATACCACATACATATAAAGAATAACCAAAATACTTAATGACCAACATGATACCAAAAGCGTAGTGAACAAGTTAGATATCAATTTAACACTCAAAGATAAACTTAGCATTTCCAAGCGGCCATGTAATGTTCTAGTTATTATATACATACCGATCTATCGATGTATTATATAAATATTGGGAGTAACTATAGAATACCCCGCATAAAAAAAGCACCCTATGATTTGATATCAGCTACGCGTCAAGATATTTTTTAAGAACGAGACTTTTAAGAACGAGAAATTCTGATATGAAGTGGCTACGCGTCAACGCGTCAAAAATGATCTTATGGTATACCTGTGTGTATATACTTATAGATATCTTTTAAGAACGAGAAATTCTGATATGAAGTGGCTACGCGTCAACGCGTCAAAAATGATCTTATGGTATACCTGTGTGTATATACTTATAGATATCTTTTAAGAACGAGAAATTCTGATATGAAGTGGCTACGCGTCAACGTGTCTAAAATAATCTTATGGTGACGCGTAGCCAAAAACCAAAAAAAAATGTCTATTAGTAAGGCGGCTACGCGTCAACGCGTACCAAATATTGATCTAATTGGCCGAAAAAATGTGTAACCATGCCAACAGTGATATCTTCGTATGTGAAAGATATGATATCATTTCATGGTTCAAAATATAGCATTTTCACAACTAGAGAAAACCTAGTATCTCATTGATATGTATATAATAAATATTATTTAATAAAACTAAGGTGAAACAATCAATGGAAATCTCTGATTTTCTCCCTTAATATTCACACCAAATACTGTTAACAATACTTAACAACATATGGCACAGATTTTAATGTAGTGTAAGAATGAAAGGCTTATTGAGTTGCTATTCAATTAGCTTGTTTCTAAACATTAAAGCAGTATACTCACCTTCTAGTCTACATGCACTACACCTTGTTTCTATGTCCTTCACATATTCACTTGTGGATGGCTCACAACTTCTTTTCTTTTTCTTTTTTGAGGTCTCTTGACTTTTTGAATAAATAGGCGATAAAGCTCGTTTAGGTGGTGAACTTGAACTTGATTGAGGTGGAGTTGACTGCCCAGAAGAAGATGGGGATTGACTGACATTATCTTTCTCTGGTACACAGACTTTCTTTAGAATAGCACATATTTCTTCTGACAACTGCGTTGCATCTCTTGTTATGATTGATCGAAAATCACCATCAGATCCAAACTTGTTGAAATATTTTGGATCTACTGTGGCAAACTGTAAGGAATCTGCTTGGCCACCAGAGGCAAATTCAAGCTTAAAGAATAAAAAGGCTATTAGATGTGCTTTTAAACCATATAATTAGCAATTACAGTAGTTACAAAGCATTTTAACCGTTTGATGTTTATACCTCAACAGTGATTCTCGTTTGTGACCTCACATTTAAACTCTTAGTTTTAGCTCCCACCAATGGATTTTTTAGACCATCAAGCTGTTTTCCAGCCTTATAAAAATAGGCTTTGTTTCCTGCTATTTTAATTGTCCAAAGTCTTTCTTCATGTCTGACCATTGTCGTTCTTTTACAAATTTGCTTGATTGATCACCAAGAAGCTTCGTAGTCAAACGGAAGAGTGAAGTAAGCGCAGTGAACGACCACGCGAAAATTTATGTGAGCAAAACGGCTCATAATATCCGGTGACAACTAAAACAATTGCCGGTGTCTTTTCGGTCAACCGAATAATAGGTGTAATTGTAAGTTAATAGCTAAGGAGGTGTAAGCTCAAGGACACCGGCATCGCTATACAAAATAAATGCTTTCAAATAACATATATGACGGATCCGGGGATATAAAGCTTTAAGAAGAAATAACTTTCTGTCCAAATACAATAATGCTATAGAAATGCAAATTTCATTGAAACTTCATGATACTGAAATTATCACACATCATGTTTCCGTTAAAAGCATTTGGCATTGAACTCCATATATCATGTTTTACTTTCAAGGTGCCGACTGTGTAGACCTTTAATATCATTTCTGAAGTTTTTCAATATCCAAATAAAACCCAAAATCTATTTTACCACTTACCTACAAGGTAGCAGTGAGTTTCTACAAACTGTATCACAAACAAGAAGGATACCCCCGCCGCCATTGCTCGACCCTTTCAAGTTTTGCGCATGTCCACAAGGAATGTATCTGATTGGTTACCGAATGAAACGTGAGACTTCGAGTAACGTGTTCAAACTTCTTCAACTGTTTACATAGACGCTTCCATGCAGTTCTTAGTCTTGTCGGTTTTATGTTGGTCTGTTAGAACGATGTGATTTGTTGAAATCGTCTAATATACACTATCATGGATGACGAAAGTGATCTCATTGCTTTTGATGATATCGTGACTAGCACGCCGGTCAAAGTGAGCTTGAATTTAGTTGACTCTGACCTCCACTCCGTTGGATCCAGTTCGTGCCGTACACCTAACAAGAGGTCTATCAGCCTACTTGATTTCTCCTCTGACTCTGATGTGTCTTGCCTATCTCCGCCAGCAAAAAGTTGCCTCAAAACTATCAATCTTATAGACGAGTCTACTGATTCCAGGGTTACAGAGAGTTCAAATGGCGGTGTTTCTGACATCCAACCGCAGGATCTGTCACACGATGGTAAGTTTAAAATGCTCATGTTTGAAAAAAATACATCGTAATATAAGCAACAACTTAATCTTTATTATCCCTTTATACTGTAAAAAAGTCACTATGAAAAATCTAAATCACGATCGCATTGAATGCAGTGGAACATGTCCATTTGTCCCAGAAATATATTCTTTGTTATGATCAACTTGTAACACAGATTCTGCAAGCTTAACTAGCATTTATTTTCTATGTTTTGCATTTTGTTGTTGAAACTTGAGCTCGTGAGGTAGGTCGATGATTCACAGATTTGTGTGTTTATAAAAGAAATCATAAAATATATAGATTATTACATGTAATTAATTTGTTGTTGTTTTACCAGGTGAATCTTTAATAATTTTCAAAGATGATGATGGTGATGATGATGTTACACGTTGTCCAACAAGAGAGGTCCCTCATTGTTCAGATGATAGTCAAGGTACTTTAATTTTATAAAAGACACATCATAATTTAATGTATTTATTGATTTGTGTGTTGACTTTACCAGGTGAATCTTTAATAATTTTCAAAGATGATGATGGTGATGATGATGTTACACGTTGTCCAACAAGAGAGTTCCTTCATTGTTCAGATGATAGTCAAGGTACACTACAATGCGATGTTTACTGAAATTGTGTTATTAGTTTTAACTGTTAAATAAAGCCATATATGTAGTACTATAATGAAAGTTATGTTTATAAAGGAATAAAACGTGTATCAACTCTTGATGTATGTGTGATTTCTAGGTAGATCTTTGGCTGATAACCATGAAAATACACAGGAAACTCATGTAGGACCTAATAGTCAAGGTAAGGCCTCACATTGAAAACGGTAAATGTCCGTGTCGAAAGTTTGCTTTTTTTCTGCAATAATTACAATTTAAATTGTTGTTCTTTTTAGAGGTGCATAGTTCCAAAGTACAAGCACCAACAATAGCCACACCTAGAGGTACAGTATAGGGCATATTATTTCCTCAATTGTTTGAAATGTTTGACTTTTTACACAATACAGCAGCAAATGATAAAAATA